AAAATACCTTTGATGTCGACACCCACGCGTCCAGACTATCACGCTGAGCCGACAAACAGCTGATCAGCTATTTGTCGGCTCAGCGCGGCAGCCATGTAAATTTAAATGAAGCGGCGATTATTTAAATCGTCGCTTCATTTTACTATGTCCGGTAGCCTAATCTACATGCCTCTGTCGCCAGAGGCACGTAGTCTAGACGTACCATTAGTGTCCAAGTTATTAGCGCACAAACTTACAAACATTCTACTTTATATATTAGATTAGCAAATTCAGAACCAGAATTACCCATAGCAGAGCTGCTCAAACAGTGAATTTTAGGTCTTAATTTAATGCAAAGAAGGCCTCAGTCCATAAGCTGTGCATATCAGAGAAACGTCTTTTTATTTATTCTCTACTACGTATCACACTTGTTTTAGATATATTTTTTTTAAAAAATCATACCACATGTTTGGAAGACCTTGACAGAAAGACTTGTCAATGGAAGAAATTAAAAAAAGTTCCCAAAAGCCAGAAGGGCACAAACATTTTACAATTCTGATAGGAGCTATCAAATATACAGTTAGAACTCCATCATATATCCTCATCCCTTACTTAATTATATGAAGAGCTAAAAGTGTGTCATTTGGAACATGGAAACATTATTTTTCACACAAGTCATAACTTGCTGGATATCAAGTGCTTCAAAGGTTCAGAAGCACTGAACACAGAAGGCATTTTTAATGGGGAATGCCAAATTCCAAAAAGAGTAATAATGTAATTATAATTAGACTATGATAGACACATACTTTCACTTGAATTAATTCTTTTCAAATTATATACTAAATGTATGGATACCCTTTAGAGAAAGAGATGCATAATTACTCCATTTCAGAGGTTGAACTGAAGCAGGTTTTCTTTTCATAAAAATCTTCTTAAAAATCCCTGAGATATCCATGTGCGAAACTGACTTACCTGTATTTCATGATTACCTAAAAATCATAGAATCATATAAATATAGGGCTGGAAGGGACATCAAGAGGTCATCTTAGTCCATCTCCCTCTTGCTAAGACAGGACAGACTATCCATGTGAGGTGTTTGTCTACCCTGTCCTTAAGAACCTCCAAATTATAGGGTTTCCACAATCATCCTTGATAACTCATTCTACTGATTAACTATCCTTCTAGTTAGAAAGTTTTTTCTAACATCTAACCTAAATCTCCTTTGCTGTATATTAAACCCATTATACTTCTCCAAGTCCACTGAGGGTAGGACAACAACTCATCTCCATGCTCTTGATAACACTCCTCATATATGTTGAGGGCTATTATAAGGCCCTTCTTCAGTCTTTTCTCAAGACTAAATATGCCCATTTTTAACCTCTCTCATAGGTCATGTTTTCTAAGCCTTTTATTATTGTTATTGGACACCTCTGGCTTCTCTCCAATTTTGTCCACATCTTTCCTTAAACTATGATACTCAGAACTGGACAGAATACTGCAGCTGACACTTCACTACTGCCAACTAAAGTGAAACATTTACCTTCTGTGTCTTACATATGACATTCCTACTAATAAACCCCAGAATGACATTACTTTTTTTTTTTTTTTTGCAATTGCACTATATTTTTAGTTCATATACAGTTTCTAATCCATTATAATCCCCAGATGCTTTTTTCCACAGTACTACCTTTCTAGCCAATTATTCTATATTTGTAATGGTTTATTGGATTTTACGAGTAGTACTCTGCAATTGTCTTTACTGAATTTCATCTTGTTGATTTCATGCCAAAATTCTTCTGAATTCTAATCCTGTCTCTCCCAAATGCATGCAACCTCTCCCAGCTTGGTGCCACTTGTAAATTTTATAAGTATACTCTCCACTCCATTTTTCAAATTCTTAATGAAAATAATGACTACCATCAGACCAAGGACAGATCCCTGCAGGACTTTACTAGATATGTCCTCTCACTTTCACAGAGAAGCATTTTAAAACTTTTTTAAGCACAGTTTTCCAACCAGTTGTGCCCCCACCTTGCAGTAAGTTCCCATAGACTACATTTCCCCATTTTGCTTATAAGAATGTCACATGGAACTATGTCAAAAGCTTTACTAAAATCAAGATACCACATCTAAAGCTTCCCTTCTATTCACTATGGTAGTAACCTATCAAAGGAGGAAATTAGGAACAAATCATGCCATACCAAGCTAACAAATCCATGTTCTTTATTCCTGATCACCCCATAATCCTCTTGGTGCTTACAAACTGTTTAATAATTTGTTCCATCCTCTTTCCAGATATTTAAATGAGGACCACTAATATATATATATATTACCAGGCTATCTCTATTCCCTCTTTTAAAAATAGATGCAATGTTCATCCTTCTCCAGATTTCTAATACTTCACCTTGTCCTCCATGCAAATAATGGCGAGGAGTCCTGTGGCACCTTATAGACTAACTGAAGTGTAGGAGCATAAGCTTTCGTGGGCAAAGACCCACTTCATCAGATGCATGCTACCCCTCTGATACTTGACACCATGCAAATAATGGTTCTGCGGATTGCTTCAACTAGTTCTTTAAGAACCCTAGCATGGATTTCATCTGGCCTTAAAGTTTTCCCCCTTATTCTGAATTGTGTTGCTTGCCCCTCGTTTTGTTAATATTAAGCATGCTACGCATCTGTTCACAATTGTTTTAGTTAAGAGGGACTCAAAATAAAAAAAATTTCCATTTTCTTGTTGTCTTCCATTATTAGCTATAAAGCAAAGCGAAATACCTGAAACAGAACTTACATAAAGCTGTTTATATAATGGCTATCTGGGGAGAGATAGCAATTACAGAAGAAAAGAACAGCAGCACACAACAAAATAAATTAATCATAAAAGAAAGAATGAGTATTTACTTCAATACAGGAAATGAAGCAATATTACCTGCCCATTTTGTTGAATATACAAATGAATGTTGCAGTCGTCACCACCACAAGCTAATATTGGTACTGGAAAAAAAAGAAAAAAATTAACAGTGTGTTCGTAAAACTACAAGTTTTAATGTTCTGTGATATTTAGCTAAAGAAAACAGGCATCTGATAAAACCATAAATATAACTGAATAATATAATGGATATGATGTGACAATTATACAATTATTTTTACTACTTTCAGCCACTTCAAAGAAATAAGACTGATTTAAAAGCATCTAAAAGGGAAGTTTTGTTGTACATATATAGTATCTGCTACAAATACTGGAAGGTAGAATGTCAAGTACCTTTAATTTAAGTCTCCAGTATCTCTCTATTAAGTCCAGCTGTGACAGATGCACCAATTTCCTGCAGTATCTGTGGGAGATCTTACATAACATAAAAAATGGCCATATTGGGTCAGACCAATGGTCCATCTAGTCCGGGGGTGGGGGCAATAAGCAGCATATGGACTGGACATGGCTTGCCAGAGTTCACCCCGGCAGGCTGTCAGACACTTTATTTATCTGTGCGCCTGCAGGTACAGCCAATCACAGCTCCCTGTGTCCAGAGAAATGGCAGCAGAGAACCCAAAGCCTAAAAGATGATGCCCTTGCTGAACCACAAAGAGGGAATACAGGTGAGCTACCCTGAACTGTGACAAGAGGCATTAGGTTTCTAAGAAGTTTGTAGGATTTATTCTTTATATATCTATCTCCTCAACTCCAAAGCTTTGTCTTGATTTCTTAAACTTAAAAAACAAAAAGAACCAGGAAGAGAAGAAGAAAACCAATATGACTAAGCAGCAGATTGAAGACCTTATTTGAGCCTTCAGAAAATGGAAGGCCAATAATAAAGCTAATAAAGGGAAGCTTAAGTTACTGTAGGGATGTTAACAATAACGTAATTCATTAATCGTGTAATCAACTAAATTTTTGTCAACTTCACGATTAATCAGTAAGGGTTAGCACTATTAACACTCAGTCTTGGCTCGTGCTGGGTCCCAGCAACTATCCCCACTGCAACTCTGCAATACAAGCACTTAAAGAGCTGGTGCACAGGCAAGCTGACACAGTCCCAGCTTGTGCCAAGACCCAGCATCAAATTCAACCATCACTGCACTACATAGCACTTTAAGTAGGGGTTGATGCCTAGGCTTATCAGGTAGTCAAGTAACTACTCAACTACCGTAAAGTTGCGAGTATAGTGAGCACTTTTTCCCCCATTATTTAATGTCAAAGTCGGAGTGCGCATTATCCATAGGAGTTTTTTTTCCAAAGTTTTTATTAGGCGGTTCCACGGCACTTAATTAATCGCTGGAGACCAGAGGTTAACTTGATTTTTATTAGCATTGACAAGCAACTATGTACACAGTTTCAAAAAGTTAAGTTAAACAAATGAAATCAACACTGCAGCGCAAATAAGCAAATACCGTATGTTAATTGATCTTCTACTCATCTTCGAAGCCCTTGAATTCGCGTTTGTTAGAATCTTCCTCGAACAGACTAGCAATATCTTCCAGGGTATAGCCCTCGACATCTTCATCCAGGTAATACAAATCATTGTCAGCTTCGCATACCGGTAATTCGCCCTCAGATGATTCATCGTTGCTCGGGTCCATCCACAGGGCACCATCCTCACTGCCATCCATAGAATTAGAGATGCTGCATTTCAGAAACCCCTTCCTGATGATAGTGGGATCTAGTTCAACCCAGACATCCGCTATCCACTGGGTAACATTTTGCAGCATCGGTGTTCACATACGTCCACCTGCAGTAAATGTATGTTCAA